AGAATAACGAGGCAGACACTTTTTTGGGAGAATACCACACCGGGGGGGTCTGGGGGACATGGAATACCCCCCCCCCAGTACAGAAACATTCAATGACTTTTCCTACAATCATCTTTACCACCATGAGGCCACTCGTATAAATATATTCTTCGTATGCTGGGGGGTATTCCATACTCCCCAGACCCCCCGGTGCTACGTTCTGTGGGGTTTTGCCCAAAATTGCATTCAGAATAACGAGGCAGACACTTTTTTGGGAGAATACCACACAGGGGGGGAGGTCTGGGGGGCATGGAATACCCCCCAGTACAGAAACATTCAATTACTTTTCCTACAATCATCATTACCACCATGAGGCCACTCGTATAAATATACTCTTCGTATGCTGGGGGGTATTCCATACTCCCCAGACCCTCCGGTGCTACGTTCTGTGGGGATTTGCCCAAAATTGCATTCAGAATAACGAGGTAGGCACTTTTTTGGGAGAATACCACACCGGGGTGGTCTGGGGGGCATGGAATACCACCCAATACAGAAACATTCAATGACTTTTCCTACAATCTTCTTTACCACCATGAGGCCACTCGTATAAATATACTCTTCATATGCTGGGGGGTATTCCATACTCCCCAGACCCCCCGGTGCTACGTTCTGTGGGGTTTTGCCCAAAATTGCATTCAGAATAACGAGGCAGACACTTTTTTGGGAGAATACCACACAGGGGGGGAGGTCTGGGGGGCATGGAATACCCCCCAGTACAGAAACATTCAATTACTTTTCCTACAATCATCATTACCACCATGAGGCCACTCGTATAAATATACTCTTCGTATGCTGGGGGGTATTCCATACTCCCCAGACCCTCCGGTGCTACGTTCTGTGGGGATTTGCCCAAAATTGCATTCAGAATAACGAGGTAGGCACTTTTTTGGGAGAATACCACACCGGGGTGGTCTGGGGGGCATGGAATACCACCCAATACAGAAACATTCAATGACTTTTCCTACAATCTTCTTTACCACCATGAGGCCACTCGTATAAATATATTCTTCGTATGCTGGGGGGTATTCCATACTCCCCAGACCCCCCGGCGCTACGTTCTGTGGGGTTTTGCCCAAAATTGCTTTCAGAATAACGAGGCAGACACTTTTGGGAGAATACCACACCGGGGGGGGGGGGGGGGTCTGGGGGGGCATGGAATACCCCTCAGTTCAGAAACATTCAATGACTTTTCCTACAATCATCATTACCACCATGAGAGCACTCGTATAACTCCCCCCCCCCCCTCCTCCTCCCGTCATACATTCTGCACTGAAATAAATATTTTTGACTCCTTGTGAACCCTCTTGAATTGTCTTGATTCTCTCTTTGAACATTATAAAGCTTTCTTAAACCTCCAACCCCCAAATTCCTTAACTGATATTAAATGCCTAAAGGGTCCAAAAACTCCTCAACCAGTGGTGTCCATTCAAGGCGTTTGGGAAATTCGAATGAACTTGAGATGGTTTAGGGAAATTCATGAGGATTCAAGGGATGCAAAGGATTATTGTGGGGAGGGTGTTCAAGTTCAGATAAAGATGTTTGAAGGGCCACAATGCGACACATCATTTCTAGCTGTTTTTGCCTCGGGAATACAAATTCGGCCTCCATCATGCGGTTCCGTTTCATTTTGTGGGAGTGCGTAGGTATTTAGACACATCTGCCTCTGACAAATGACGTCCTTATCTTTTTAAACGACCTCAATTATTAATTAACAACAACAGCAATTTACTTAAACTTTATTCAAACACAACCGGTCTGTTATGCACATAAAACCCTCGTCTAAGGTAAACACCTGCATTAGTCACAAGATGAATAACAATGCATGGGCCCATAACCGGTTAATAACCAGTTTAGTAATCGCCTATTGGAACAAATAATCTTTTGTTTTATAAATAAACTATTTGACCGAAGTGATAGTGTTGCGTCATGCCGATCAACTCCTCGCAATAGGCAATATCATCAAATCTGATGCAATATGCACGCGCCCAAAGATAGTTGTCCTTATCGCGCGTTTGTTAATTTCTTCTTCCGCCGAAGAGGTGCACGATCGTTTAGTGGAAATTTTCGGGCTATTTTGGAAACGTTCCGGGAAAACTTCTGCTATTTAATCGGTAGCGGAATTTGTTTGGCGTAAACTTTTGACCCGAACTCCGATATGACGAGTTGGGCATGTGTTCCAATTACAGTCAACATTCGGAACGCGATTCTTCCATTGTTTGTTTGGTTGGGAAAAATTTCCTACTCTCATCGCGAGTTCCTCCTTTTTCAAACAATGAAATGATTCGATCACGCCGAGATTCCATGACGGAAGTCGTAGGTTTTCCGCTGCGCTATCTTTGTTATTTTTAAGCGTTTTCGTCTAAACGCGATAGAACATCGGGCGCCCTTCACGTTCTTCGATAACCTTATCGTTTTTCGGTGCTTACGGATAAATGATGCAAGTGGTCAGCTGTATTGCAAAGATTTGTTTCTTCAAACTTTGATCCTGAGACTTCCTTCAAACCTCGGAACACTGTTTAATCTTTTTCAAAACGTCCTTGAAACACAAACGGGAGAAGACAGGAGAGAGTTGGAGAAGGATGGAAGAACGTATGACGGAAGGTGTAGCAGTTTAAAGGAAAGCGCAAGAGATGGGTGGAGTACGTAAAAAAGGACAGGGGATCACGGTAAAGGGCTAGTGAGTGTGGGAGAGAACTGTCGATTCTCGGAGGAGAAGAAGAGAACAGGGAAAATAAGATCAGGAGAAGAAGGCAGAAAGGGGCAAGAACCGGCAAGATTTTTCTTCGTCTGCCAGACCAGTATGATTCCAGTTTTAAATTTTTCGATCGTACTACCGAGGGATGGGGGAGGGGGGTGTCTGGGAGATATGGAATACTCCCCCAGCAAAAGGGAAATTCAATTACCATTCCCCTACAATCACATTACCACCATGAGAGCATTCGTAGAATCATATAAAAGGTCTTTCTTCGTGTGCTTTCCGTACCCCCCCAGCCAGAGACTTGTCATTCCAATTTTCGGTAAAAAGTTATCGAACGTACCACCGGGGGGTCTGTGGGGGTATCCAGCAAGAGGAAATCCAATGTCCATTTCCCTACAATCATCATTACAACCATGAGAATATTCGTAGAATTGTATAAATAAAGTCTTCGTGTGCTGGGGGGGTTTTCCGTACCCCCCAGGTGTTGTGTTCGCCCACAAAACCGTCTGTCTGACACTTGTCATTCCAATTTTGGGTAAAAAGTTATCGAACGTACCACCGGGGGGTCTGGGGGGTATGGAATACCCCCCAGCAAGAGGAAATCCAATGTCCATTTCCCTACAATCATCATTACAACCATGAGAATATTCGTAGAATTATATAAATAAAGTCTTCGTGTGCTGGGGGGTTTTCCGTACCCCCCAGGTGTTGTGTTCGCCCACAAAACCGTCTGCCTGACACTTGTCATTCCAATTTTCGGTAAAAAGTTATCGAACGTGCCACGGGGGGGTCTGGGGGGTATGGAATACCCCCCAGCAAGAGGAAATCCAATGTCCATTTCCCTACAATCATCATTACCACCATGAGAATATTCGTAGAATTGTATAAATAAAGTCTTCGTGTGCTGGGGGGGTTTTCCGTGCCCCCCAGGTGTTGTGTTCGCCCACAAAACCGTCTGCCTGACACTTGTCATTCCAATTTTCGGTAAACAGTTATCGAACGTACCACCGGGGGGTCTGGGGGGTATGGAATACCCCCGAGCAAGAGGAAATCCAATGTCAATTTCCCTACAATCATCATTACCACCATGAGAATATTCGTAGAATTGTATAAATAAAGTCTTCGTGTGCTGGGGGGGTTTTCCGTGCCCCCCAGGTGTTGTGTTCGCCCACAAAACCGTCTGCCTGACACTTGTCATTCCAATTTTCGGTAAAAAGTTATCGAACGTACCACCGGGGGGTCTAGGGGTATGGAATACCCCCGAGCAAGAGGAAATCCAATGTCAATTTCCCTACAATCATCATTACCACCATGAGAATATTCGTAGAATTGTATAAATAAAGTCTTCGTGTGCTGGGGGGGTTTTCCGTACCCCCCAGGTGTTGTGTTCGCCCACAAAACCGTCTGCCTTTCAAGTGCCATTCCAATTTTCGGTAAAAAGCTATCAAACGTACCTCTGGGAGGTATAGAATACCAGCCGTTGAAAGTATCCAGGAATCGGTCTTTAAGAAACCATTTAATATATTTTATGGGATTTTAAGCCATCACCAAAAGATGTTCCTGCTCCTAATATTTCTCGCCGTCAGGAGAACATTATTGACGAGGAAGTATAGCCAACAGAGCAAGATGGAAAGGGCGGTGCAAAGAGAATTTTCCCGGCATTCCACCCGAAACGTAGTTTCGAGAGAGAGGATCTTTTTTATATGGGAATCTAGTGGAAGAAAGGCTGGAAAGACGAAGAGAGAAGATCCCGGAAAACATGGCAACAAAAGGGGTTCAGAGGCGTGGGGGAGGGGATGGGGACGATTTTTTCACATTAACTATTTATGATTTGATTGTGATTGACCCGTATCAAGAATTCTGGAGGGCTTCCAGAATAAACAGGAATAAAATTGCGACGTTTCCGCATTTACCGGCGGAAAATCTCCTTGTGCATTGTTTGTCCTTGGCCTCCGCTATCGAGTAATTATCACCAGGTACGTGTAATGGGAAAAACAAATTGCGCTCGATTAGGACAAAGAGAATCTGCTAATGCCAGGCAGTCTGCCAATCAAGCCAACGAAACGGTCGCTTTTTTTTATTGTTTATTTTTAGATGCATTTACAGTTGAGGTGACGTCCCCGTATTATGTTGCTATGGGCCTGAGCGCAATCAGCTGATGTAACATACACAAACTCGTTCAACGCGAACCAATCAGCTGACTTCGAAAATACCCCCACCTCCTCCCCGCTTTGCGACGACCATAAACGAGTTAGGGTCACACAAGCCGGTTCTGTTAGTTTATTATCCATTGTGTCCTCGTCGCTCGAGTTAGTTTTCTTTTAGTTCGTGGAGAAAGACGTTCAATTATTTATCGGCGCGATTGCTTAATCTGAAAGTGTTAGTGATTTCTATGGTTTACCAATGAGCACGCGTTTTTTGTTAGAAAAAAGTGCAGTTGCGAGAAAGTTTCGGACTAATTTTTGGATACGACCAAGGCGTTAACCACCAAGCCCTCCCCTCACGTTTCCTTCGACACCGGTACGCTTCAAACCGGCAAAATTCCGGTGGCAAGGGAAAACCTCGGCCCTCTTCGCGAAGGGACCACAATGGGCCACATTCAGCAGAACGTAAGTACCCCACCCCCGCACACACTTTCTCCATCTGTTGCGCGAGGTCAACAACTTGAAAAGAGGAAGAAGAAAAAAGCGGCAGTGAAGATAAAACCCGCTCGAATTTCTGCCTAGGCCCTAGGGGCGCATAATTGTAGCGCATAGGGGGTGCATTGATTCCGCAACGGTTGGGAAGCTCAAATATTTCCGCTGAAAAATTTTCCGTGCTCGTGGAATTTTTTCCTAATGATGGAATGACACAATTAATCTGAATGACGCATTATTGATTGTATGGATAATTTAATTTGTTGAAACTGGGAGGTTCTTTTTCGTCAAGGAGCGGCTGATATGGCGCTTAACCACTCTTTCTTCAAAAAGAGTGTTAATTTTGGTTTCTGGTTCGCATTTTGACACCACTAATGCGCAGTTTAATTTGAACGGGCCAATATTTTGGTTTCGATTTATGTTCAGCGCTGTTTAATTTCCATAGCGCATAATTATCGCATAGGAAATTTAATCAGTGCAAGTTTCCAATCGGAAATTTTAATTTGAACAATAAAATATGGCGCACAATTGGGGTCAATTGTCAAATTATGGTTTATTTCTGACCGTTTATCAAGCGCATTTTAATTTCCTTGGCGCATAATTAGCGCTTAATTGTCGCATAGGATATTTAATTCGAGTGCAAGTTTCCAATTGGAAATCACTCTTGAGTGGAAAATGTTTGAAATTGAACAGAGAAATTTTAATCTAACGATAAAATGTAGCGCATAATGTGAGCCTAATTTCTAAATTACTAATTGTCAATGTCTGACCGTAAAGTTAATTTCTGATGCTCTGCTTAATTTCATTGGCGCCTAATTAGCGCTTAATTATCCCATAAGAAATTTAATTCAAGTGCAAGTTTCCAATTGGAAATTACTAATGAGTGGAAAATGTGAGGAACAGAAATTTTTGAATTGAATCGATATTTATTAAACGAAATATTTAAAATGGTGTAATAGAGAAAACAAGCATTATAACAAATAAATTTCATCCAATCTGTTTTTTAGCGTTTAATTATCGCATAGGAAATTTAATTCGAGTGCAAATTTCCATTTGGAAATTACTCGTGAGCGGAGAATGTTTAAAATTAGGAAGTAGAGGAATTTTAGTCTAATAACAAAATGTAGCGCATAATTAGTGCTTAATTACCAATTTATGCTAAATTTCTGACAGTAAAATTGATTTTGTAATGCGCTTCCTAATTTCATTGGCGCATAATTAGCGCTTAATTATCGGATGAGAAATTTACTACGAGTTCAAGTTTCCCATTGAAATTACTCGTGAGTGGAGAACGTTTAAAATTGTAATTAAATAATACAATATGGCGCATAATTTGGGGTTAATTGCCAAATTACGCTAAATTTCTGACCGTAAAATTAGTGTTCTAATGCGCTGTTTAATTTCATTGGCGCATAATTATCGCATAGGAAATTTAAATCGAGTGCAAATTTCCAATTGGAAATTACTCGTGAGAGGAGAATGTTTGAAATTAGGCAGTAGAGGAAGTTTAGTCTAATAACAAAATATAGCGCATAATTACCAATTTATGCTAAATTTCTGACAGTAAAATTGATTTTCTAATGCGCTTCTTAATTTCATTGACGCATAATTAGCGCTTAATTATCGAATGAGAAATTTAATACGAGTTCAAGTTTCCCATTGTAATTACTTGTGAGTGGAGAACGTTTAAAAAATAATACAATATGGTGCATAATTGGGGGGTTAATTGCCAAATTACGCTAAATTTCTGACCGTAAAATCAGTGTTCTAATGCTCTGTTTAATTTCATTGGCGCATAATTATCGCATAGGAAATTTTGTTAGAGGGTAAGTTTCCAATTGGAAATTACTCGTGAATGGAGAATGTTTGAAATTGAGCAAAGAAATTTTAATTTAACGAAAATACACGGCGCATAATTCGGGCATAATTGCTAAATTATTAATTGTCAATGTCTGACCGTAAAGTTGATTTTCTAATTAATTTCTTTGGTGCATAATTAGCGCTTAATTATCGCATGAGAAATTTTACACGAGTTCATGATGTTTCCCATTGAACATACTTGTGAGTGGAGAACGTTTAAAATTGCAATTTAATATTACAATATGACGCATAAATGGGGGTTAATTGCCAAATTACCCGAAATTCCTGACAGTAAAATTGATTTGCTAATGCGCTGTTCAAGTATATATAAGTAGTATAAGTATATATAATAAGCATAATTAGCGCTTAATTATCGCATAGGAAATTTAATTCGAGTGCAAGTGAATGTTTGAAATTGAGAAGATAAATTTTAATTTGACAATAAAAATGGCGCATAATTGGGGCTTAATTGCCAAATTAGCCTAGATTTCTGACCGTAAAATTTATATTCTAATGCGCTGTCTAATTACATTGGCGCATAATTAGCGTTTAGTTATCGTATAGGAAATTTAATTCGAGTGCAAGTTACCAATTGGAAATTACTCGCGAGTGAAGAATGTTTGAAATTGAGGAGAGAAATTTTAAATTAATAATAAAAGATGGCGCATAATTGGAGCTAATTGGCAAATCGTGCTAAATTTTTGACCGTAAAATTGATTTTTCAAAGCGCTGTTTGATTTCATTGGCGCATAGTTTCCGATTGGAAGCTACTCGGTAGTGGAGAATGTTTGAAATTAGAAATTTTAATTTAACAATAAATTATGGCGGATAATTGGGGCTAATCGTCAAATTATTCTAAATTTCTGACCGTAAAATTGAGTTTCTAATGCGCTGTTTAATTTTATTGCCGCATAATTAGCGCTTAATTATCGCATAGGAAATTTAATTCGAGTGCAAGTTTTCAAATTGAAAATTAATCGTGAGTGGGAAATGTCATAATTGAGAAGAGAAATTTTAATTTAACAATAAAATATGGCGCATAAGTGGGGCTTAATTACCAAATTATGCGGTATTGGTTTTCTAATGCGCTGTTTAATTTCATTGAGCGAAAATGTTATTTGAGTACTAGTTACCAAATGTAAATTATGCTTCGCTAGAGAAGGTGAAGAGAAATTTTAATTGGAAGAGTTAAATATGAGGCATAATTTGCGCGAATCAGTTAATCTTTTTATTGCGCGTAATTGAAGTGCCTTTTTGATGCTTGAAAATCTGAATCCGGTGAATTACGTTATCGGGGTTCATTAATTGACCTTGGTTCAAATTGGTATATATATATATATATTTGTGTTGCGTCTTTATGGCACCCGATCGCTTCAAATAGGTCCCCCGAATTACCGAAACCTCCATTTTGTTTTTGACCTTTTTCCTCCTTCGTTCTGTTTGCCTAATCAAAATTGTCCAATTAATTCGCATTACCTGCAGGACTCGCTGCAGGACAACCGAAATTGGGCGATAAAAGTAATTAAACGTGCGCACTTGAAGTAATTCAAGTAATACAGTCTGATTCGTGGAGGCGAGCAAGGAGGTGAAATTCGAGGTGTGTGCGAAAAACACGAGTCGCGATTTAATTTTATTATGTAAAAGCTTTTTCATGCTCAAAAGAACGACACGATGTCGATACTGTTAGTGTAATGGAAGTTCAATTTTCTTGACGCTGACGCTTAGTGACGTAAAAAAACAACGCTTTAAGAGAAAAATAGCCCAGTCAAGACAGGGTGGCGATATCTAAAAACACGCGTCATTAATTGCGGAAAAAGGCTAAACGGCTCCTATAAATATTAATAGCTTTTTGTATTTTGCAAAATTACATAAGATTAAAGTATACCAAATTACGTTTTGATTATCACGAGATATTTCAAAATGTTTACTTCTCTCTCGAGATTATCTTGAGATCATTTTATGACGATCAAAACATGTTTTTCGATTTTTTTAAACCCGTTTTTAGAAATGGCTTAACGACGACATTTGTTATTTATCGCAGACGCCATTTTGTACTCGCTCGGGTAACGCTAGACACTTGTTTACGTCGTTTTCATACAGGGAAGTAAGTTATTTCTGGACCGAAAAGACAAATAATTTTTGTGTACCATTAATTACTAATTAATTAAATTGAATTTCTATGTAATTGGACACTGGAATTTAATTTTTTGAATAGTAGGTACCATACGTCGCGTCGTATTTGACAAAAAATAATCTAATTTTCCTAAGTTGCGAGTAATTAAGATATTTACTAATTGGTTCAGATTTCCTAATTTTCGTAATTCAATTAAATCCGTTGTACTGAAACACTTACACGTGTATAATTTATTAATTGAAATTACTCGCAAATTCCAAATTGCCCCTAATTAATCTGGCGCGAAACTTGCTGGAATGGTCTAAATAATTGCAATTATTATCAGCTGGGATAATTTGGAACGGTCGCCATTCTAAGTTGTGGATAATTAAGATATTTATTAAGTTGTGAATTAATTACTCGCAGCAACTGTAAATTACGAAAATTAATACTTGTCAAGTTCACTTATTAATTTTCCGCGCTAATTAAGTGTAACTTTAGCTTTGGCAATTTTTCCACTTTTTAAACGGTGGGTGTAATTAATTCGTATTATTTACGTGTTGTAATTAGCGCACAAATTACATTGTAGGGAATTTAATACGATTAATTCGGTATGCTTCCCTTTTTTTCTCTTCAATAACGTCAAAGTAGGTCGGCTCGCACTTTCTCTAAACACGAGAAATTTTTAATTTCTTTTACTAACGTTCGCTTCTCTTTTTTTGCAGGTGAGTTCGGCTGGCTACTTCGACGGCAACGTCCAATTGGAGACCGCGGTGAGTTCATCGGACTGCTCTTATCGGCAGTAGATTGCGGCTTGTTTGGCCTCTCGTCTGCGCCCTCTTAGATTAACGGAAATTGCTCAATGCGAGCCTTTTGCGTAATTCGACGTTGTAGGACCCGTGCAGTTTCTCTGCGAAAATGACCCGAAAAAAGGCGCGAGCGAATGTGCAGCTGATCAAAGTTCTCTCTTTAACAAACAAAAGATAAGGAGTCAGTGACTGCTAGGCTCTTTGTTCGTAGTTTGCCATGAATCACGTGAACTTTGAGGTTATTTTCACAGCTAAACGGAGGTCCGTATCGGAATCGGTGACCCAATTTAAAAACGGCCCCTTTTCTCATCAAAATGCAAATATGTTTTTCATGGGGGTTAATGAACGCTTAATTTTATGAAAACACCTTGGCAAAGTCGCAAAGAGGACACTTATTTCCATCTAAATTATTTAAAACGAACCGTCCGTCTTTCGTCGGTTTTGTTAACTGTTTTGTTAACTGTTTTTCGCAATACCAAACGCAAATGAATTTCATTCGCCCTCTTAACTTCGTTATTTGCTGATTTTTGCTTCAGCAACATTTCGGAAGACGACCTACTCGATTTTTTCTTTCTGTGTCAAATCGACTTGTTGAGATGACGCAAGCAGATATACATCAATACGTCTGTTTTGCTGTTTATTTGGAAGCGTTGTTGGAACAGCAAAAATTGAACAATTTTGCTCCGGCACCAAAATGGCCAACCTAGAGGACACTTATTTCCATCTAAATTATTTAAAACGAACCGTCCCGTCTTTCGTCGGTTTTGTTAACTGTTTTTCGCAATGCCAAACGCAAATAGATTTCATTCGCTCTCAATTTCATTATTTGCTGATTTTTGCTTCAGCAACATTTCGGAAGACGACCTACTCGATGTTCTTTCTGTGTCAAATCCACTTGTTGAGATGACACAAGCAGATATACATCAGTATGTCTGTTTTGCTGTTTATTTGGAAGCGTTGCTGGAACAGCAAAAATTGAACAATTTTGCTCTGGCACCAAAATGGCCAACCTAGAGGACACTTATTTCCATCTAAATTATTTAAAACGAACCGTCCCGTCTTTCGTAGGTTTTGTTAACTGTTTTTCGCAATGCCAAACGCAAATAGATTTCATTCGCTCTCATAATTTCGTTATTTGCTGATTTTTGCTTCAGCAACATTTCGGAAGACGACCTACTGGATGTTCTTTCTGTGTCAAATCGACTTGTTGAGATGACACAAGCAGATATATATCAATAGGTCTGATTTGCTGTTTGGAAGCGTTGCTGGAACAGCAAACATTGAACAATTTTGCTCCGGCAGCAAAATGGCCAACCTGAAATAAAGCGAGATGCTTGGGACAGATACAAACACCAGCAATATGGTTTGGACAAGAGTGTTGCTAGGATTGAGCTAAGCAACAAATAAATCGTATTTCGATGACTGGTGGCGTTGCGATGGAGGAATGCGGATGATTTAGAAACCGCAGAATCGAGTTCCCTTGAATTTTGCTGGAACAGAAGAAGAATAGATCTTGGGTTAATTTTTTTTTAATTTAAAAAAAGCTGACCTGTGCAGTTTCAAAAAGTGGAACGACGAATTAAAATATTTTCAGAATTTATAACTCTAAAAAATACATGGAAACTTCCCTTAAATTTCCTTAAATTTTGCTGGAACAGAAGAATAATAGATCTTGGGCTAATTTTTTTTTAATTTAAAAAAAAGCTGACCTGTGCAGTTTCAAAAAGTGGGACGACGAATTAAAATATTTTCAGAATTTATAACTCTAAAAAATACATGGAAACTTAAAAAATCAAAAAAATACAAATAAAAAAATTCAAAAAATTTAGGAATGTTTAGATCTTGAAAAGAAATTTTACCACATCAAAAACTTAAATCTTAGGGCGTTTTGCTGTTTTGAGTTGCTTGCCGTGTTCACGTTTGACGAACCATACTGTACACAAAACTGAAATATCTTGATTTTTGAAGATCTGCACGAATTTGTTGAATATTTTTTTAATTTAAACATCTATTTCTTATAAATTAAGCGGTTAAAAAACGCCGGTCCGGTTTTTGAGTTGCTTGTCGATAAGCCCGAAGATTACAGGCTCAAAATTTGTTTACTCTTTTTTTGGAAATGGGAAGATTCTTTTGAATTTTTCAAAACAGTAAATGGCGCAGTACGCAACCCTTCAAGGAAATTTCTATTTCTCAAAGAAAAGTGCTAAGGACCGTAAACATTGTGGTAAGAGAACGTGGTCACCATCTAGGGGGAAACAAGTACAAATAATTCAGATTTAATTCAAATTAATTCACTTTAATTGAAATTAATTCACGCTAATTCACATTAATTCTGGTTAATTCCAAAAAATCCAAAGTTTCCCACTAGGTCACCATAGTTTACCTTCCGTACTCTCTACTGATAGTGGTGGGGTCTCGATACACGCCAGATCTCCGCTGCTAATACAAAAGATTTACACCTCCTCGAGTGATCGTCCTTTAAAGATCATCCTCTCTTTTCTCCAATAATAAGGATCATGCGGAGGGCTCTAAGTCATAGCAACGGGGGTCTGGAGAGTATGAACCCCCCCCCCCGAGGCGGCGGAATTACAAAAAAAAAAAATGAAACGCGATCGTCCCTCAATTAGGTCGCTCTTGATCTTAATATGTGTACGAATAAAAATATCTGACCACCGAATCAAGTAATCGTATCTGCTATGTAAACATGCCGTAAATGCCGGCGGCGGTGATGTCATTTAATGTTTTTGTTTTTCGACGATAAAGTACTGCAGTGGGCGGCGCTGCTATACGTCCACGTGTAGCATTTAACTGGTCCATTTCAATAAAAATCATAACACGTGCCTCACCTACCGTCAATTATTATAGTCCGTCCATTGCGGTCCATTTTTTATTGACGACCGCTCCAAATTTGAATGTGCCGCGCGCGCGAGATTTAATTTTTACCCTCGACGGCGCTCGTTTTCGAAAAGGTGACGTAACGCGATTAATTTTAGTTTTAGTGGGTCATTTAAAAATAACCCCCCGCCTTTTTTTTCCTGTGCGCGCTTCTTAAACCATTTTAAGTAAACAAGGTCGTTATAAGTGTATACACGTGTCTATACTTTTCGGTCGGCTCGACTCGGTCGCTGGTGTAATTGTAAATGTATGTAAATGCAGTTGTACGTATAATAATAATATGCAAAGCGTATTGCGAAAAAAGAACCTTCAATTATATTTATGTGCTTGTTTACAGTTTACTAATTAAAGCCCATTTTACAGACGCACACTTTATTCGTGGATGCCTTCCTTCAAAATAACAGACTGGACCATGTAACCCAAGTTATGGGATATCATCCCGCGTACTTGGATCACTTCCTCAGAACACAGCACTTTATACTTCGCGGAGATGGCCCTCTTCCCTACGACTATAGACATTATATTGCAATTATGGTGAGTTTCCCGAACTGCAAAAAAAAACCGGGCTAACCACCCTCAACCTTTCAGGCGTCCGGGCGCCACCAGTGCAACTACCTGATCGCCCTGCAGAAGCAGGAGTTCCTGCTGCAGGGCGGCGCGCACACGTGGCTAAAGGGCCTCGATTATATTCCACAGAAGCTAAGAAATCTGTACGATATCAACAAAATATTGGCGCACCAGCCTTGGCTTTTGAATAAATCTCATATTGAGGTCAGTATGCGGAGATTTTGGGCCGAGGAGGACGGTCATAATTCCGAAACGCCATGGATTTAAGATCTAAAAAGCCTTTACCGATCCTTCACTAATTCTAATTTCAAGCCTTTAGGATCAACTAAGGTTCTTGAAGAATTTTCAAAAGCTTGCAAGGGTCTCATTGAGTTTATGATTAGCCTTGGGAGTATTCAAGCCACTTCCTTCTAAAGTGTTCTCTGGTCTTCTAGACTACAATAGGAATTAAAGATCCTTCTAATCGCCGTTAGTCTTTAAAGGCTTTCAAAAGGTTTTAAGAGGCATCCAACCTCAAGCCTTTAAAGGTCCTTAAGAACTTGTAAGTGCTTTGCTTAGATCTGTTTTAAGAGCTTTCAATGGTATCCACAGCGTGGTAGCCTTGTTTTTGTGCAAGTGTCTTTAATGGGCTACCAGGAGTATATAATTCATAAGATCTTCTAACTGAAGAGGTTCCAGCAGGAGGTCTAATTCTCTTCGAAAAATGTTCTTTACGTAATCCATGATGGCTGTTAGGCTGAAGAGAGCACTATGTTTTCGTTTGAGCTTGCGAGGAGGTGTTTTAGACCTGGTTCATGAGGTATCTGTTTGGTTAACAGAAGAACATAACTCGTGAGAGGATTTTTTTCTAAGATGAAAAATGCTTCGGCACTTTTCCGTTTGTGTATCAGGACTCCTGTGCGAAGAGGTGTTTTCGCTCCTAATTTACGCAGTAAAAAATATAATTTTTTCTGGTTATCAGGAGAACATGAGGGAGGATCTTTTTCCTCAGCACTTTTTGTGTCAGGAGGTTAGAAAACCTTATCTGTAGAGAGGTGTCTGCTCCTATTTTACGAACTATCTTGTTAGGTAACAATTAAATTTACAAAAGATAATAATTATCGTACTTTTCAAAATTAAAGGTGTCCATAACACTTGCGGCGTTTCCCCGCTGGATGGCAAGACTTGTTCGTTGACTAAAGTAGGCCCTCGAAACACCAATTGCGTCGACAAAAAGCTGGCCGAGCTTCTTCAGGAAACATCTAGCATCCGTGCCCCACGGACCTAGGGTTTCCACTACAAAACTAGAAAAAAATTAATTTTCTCTGGTTACCAGAACATAACCCATGAGGGGATCTTTGTCTGAAACCAAGAAAAAGAAAAGAGGTTATATAAACAAGTGTTTTTGCTCCTAATTTACGCAGTATCCGGGGAAAAAAATGTAAATATTTTCTTGCTACCAGGAGAACATAATCCATGGCTGGTTCTTCTTCCTCAGCATTTTTTGTTTAAATTTTTTGTATCAGGAGGTTAGGAAAACAATTGTTTTTGTTCCTAATTTACGCAGTATCTGGGGAAAAAATGTAAATATTTTTTGGCTACCTGGAGAACAACCCATGAGTGGAGCTTTTTCCTCGGTAATTTTTTGTTTAAATTTTCTGTATCAGGAGATGTGCGAAGAAGTGTGTCTGCTCGTAATTTACGCAGTATCTGTTAAGAAAATGTAAAATTTCTCTAGTTACCAGGAGAACAGCTCATGAGCGTACTTTTCCTCAGCATTTTTTCGTTTAAAGTTTGTATCAGGAGGTTAAAGAAACTCGTGTGCGAAGAAGTGTTTCTGCTCCTAATTTACGCAGTATCTGGGAAAAAATGTAAATATTTTCTTGCTACCAGGAGAACATAATCCATGGCTGGTTCTTCTTCCTCAGCATTTTTTGTTTAAATTTTTTGTATCAGGAGGTTAGGAAAACAATTGTTTTTGTTCCTAATTTACGCAGTATCTGGGGAAAAAATGTAAATATTTTTTGGCTACCTGGAGAACAACCCATGAGTGGAGCTTTTTCCTCGGTAATTTTTTGTTTAAATTTTCTGTATCAGGAGATGTGCGAAGAAGTGTGTCTGCTCGTAATTTACGCAGTATCTGTTAAGAAAATGTAAAATTTCTCTTGTTACCAGGAGAACATAACCCATGAGCGGATTTTTTCCTAGCATTTTTTCGTTTAAACTTTGTATCAGGACTCCTGTGCGAAGAGGTGTTTTGCTCCTAATTTACGCAGTAAAAAATGTAATATTTTCTTGCTACCAGGAGAACATGAGGGAGGTTCTTTTTCCTCAGCATTTTTTTGTTTAAATTTTTTGTATCAGGAGGTTAGGAAAACAATTGTTTTTGTTCCTAATTTACGCAGTATCTGGGGAAAAAATGTAAATATACCTGGAGAACAACCCATGAGTGGAGCTTTTTCCTCGGTAATTTTTTGTTTAAATTTTCTGTATCAGGAGATGTGCGAAGAAGTGTGTCTGCTCGTAATTTACGCAGTATCTGTTAAGAGTATGTTACCAGAGAACATAACTTGTTTTTCCTAGGTTCGTTTAAAGTTTGTATCAGGACTCGTGTGCGAAGAAGTGTTTTGCTCCTAATTTACGCAGTAAAAAAATAAATATTTTCTTGCTACCAGGAGAACATAATCCATGGCGGTTCTTTTTCCTCAGCACTTTTTGTATCAGGAGGTTAGGAAAACAATTGTTTTTGTTCCTAATTTACGCAGTAAAACTACAGAACAACCCATGAAAAAGTTTAAATTTTCTGCTGCTCCTAATTTACGCAGTATCCGGGGAAAAAAATGTAAATATTTTCTTGCTACCAGGAGAACATAATCCATGGCGGTTCTTTTTCCTCAGCATTTTTTGTTTAAATTTTTTGTATCAGGAGGTTAGGAAAACAATTGTTTTTGTTCCTAATTTACGCAGTATCTGGGGAAAAAATGTAAATATTTTTTGGCTACCTGGAGAACAACCCATGAGTGGAGCTTTTTCCTCGGTAATTTTTTGTTTAAATTTTCTGTATCTCAGGAGATGTGCGAAGAAGTGTGTCTGCTCGTAATTTACGCAGTATCTGTTAAGAAAATGTAAAATTTCTCTAGTTACCAGGAGAACATAGCTCATGAGCGTACTTTTCCTCAGCATTTTTTCGTTTAAACTTTGTATCAGGAGGTTAAAGAAACTCGTGTGCGAAGAAGTGTTTCTGCTCCTAATTTACGCAGTATCTGGGAAAAAATGTAAATATTTTCTTGCTACCAGGAGAACATAATCCATGGCGGGTTCTTTTTCCTCAGCATTTTTTGTTTAAATTTTTTGTATCAGGAGGTTAGGAAAACAATTGTTTTTGTTCCTAATTTACGCAGTATCTGGGGAAAAAATGTAAATATTTTTTGGCTACCTGGAGAACAACCCATGAGTGGAGCTTTTTCCTCGGTAATTTTTTGTTTAAATTTTCTGTATCAGGAGATGTGCGAAGAAGTGTGTCTGCTCGTAATTTACGCAGTATCTGTTAAGAAAATGTAAAATTTCTCTTGTTACCAGGAGAACATAACCCATGAGCGGTACTTTTTCCTCAGCATTTTTTCGTTTAAACTTTGTATCAGGAGATTACAAAAACTGATGTGCGGAGATGTGTTTCTGAAAAAAAATTTGGCTATCAGGAGTGCATAACCCACGAGATGATTTTTTTCCTCGTCACTTTTTCGTTTAAATTTTTTGGATTAGGAGGTTAGAAAAACTCGTGTGCGAAGAGGTGTTTCTGCTTCTAATTTAAGCAGTATCTATTTAAAAAAAATGTGAATTGTGTCTGGTTACCAGGAGAACATAACCCGTGAGGGGATCTTTTTCCTCGGCAATGTTTCGTTTAAATTTTTTGTGTCAGGAGGTTAGAAAAACTCGTGTGCGCAGAGGAGTTTCTGCTCCTAATTTATGCAGAATCGGTTAAGAAAATGTAAATTTTCTCTGGTTATAAGGAGGTTAAAAAAACGAAGAGGTGTTTCTTTTTGCTTTTTGTGTATTAGGAGGTTATAAAAACTCATCTCATGTTCGAAGAGGTGTTTCTCCTGCTAATTTGCGGACCATGTTTAAGAAAACTGTACGTGTACTCCCAAGTACCAGGAGAACATAATCCACGGGGACGCTTGAGAGTAACGTGGCATCATTTGAAGTTGGTTTAGATTTCAAAACCTCTTTGAGGTTGTAGGTAACACTTAAAAAGCATTAGAGGCCCTTTAAGGACTCTTAAAGGCAAATGGAACCTTCTGGAAACACTTTTGCTATCTCTTAAAGACTCAAAGTTTAATAAACAACTCGGTAAGACTAGACCCATAAAAGTTTTTGAAGATTTAGCGGTTCTTAAAGGCTCACAAACGCTCTTAAAGGTTCAGCTTTTAACAATTGAGATAATCTCAAAGCTCAGAAGATCTACGACCTGGCACTATGGAATTCTGACCGCTCTCGCTTCAAAGGAATAAGAAAGGGGTGGCACTTTTGTGAGCGGTGCACGCTTAAAAGGTGAGATTAATACGTCCGATTTTCCCTTGCAGAAGTTAACGAAAGGCAAAGATAGCTGGTCGCTGGCCGAAGTCGTGCACGCCATAGTCATATTGACTCACTTTCACTCGCTGTGTTCGTTCGTCTTCTCGTGCGGCGTCAATCAGGAGGTCGACCAAATCGGAGCGCACACGTATCCCGCATCGGACGGCGGGACAAACGCGACGGCCATCTGCGTCGATCCTAGCAATATAAATATCTCGAAAAGTCAACCCAAAGATATACCTATCAGTAATAGAAAAGGTAAGTCAATTTGACTATTGTCAAATGTAGTAGATGGGAGGAGTCACTAAGTTCAATTCGACTCAATTTTCACGTCGATTGCGAGCCGGGCATAAATTAAGCTTGCTTCCTTTATTATTATTATTATTCATTCTGTTGCTGACATCGGGTTGGGATCAGACGAGTTTACGAATTGCTCAGTATCTAATGATGACAAAACACGAATGACTCAATGATTATTCAAAGAGGACGTAATTCTGATAAACCTCTCTCTCGTCGATTCCGCCTACTCTCAGATTAGCGCGCAACTGAGACGCTTTTTTCTTCAATTTTAGACTGGAAATATTCATCAAATTTAAGCCCACCGTCCCCGACCGAACCGGAAGTGGGCATAACGACGCTAATGCAACGCATGAAGACGCTTTCGGAACACAATGAGGAGTGCACGCCCGTCGAGCTGACGAAACGTTTCGAGAACGTCGAATCGCAATCGGCCGAACTCGGAGCGGTCGGCGCCGAACCGCAGGAGGCGCCCGCCGACATTTGCGTCTTCGTCGAGGATCCGTCGTTTATCTATCACGATTTCGCGAAGAGGCACGACGACGATATCGTGACGTTTCGAGTGCAAGACTACTCGTGGGACGATCATGGGTACTCTTTGGTGAATAGGTGAGTTCGAGTTGTTCCGCTGGGACAGGGGGGGGGGGGCCAGTTGGGGCGCATGTTACTCGTTTGTGAGTAGGGTGTTCTATGCAATTGGGAAGATCGATTTTTGTCATATCAACGATCAATTTGGTTAAAAATTAATCGTCAACTGGCAAATACAGTGCACCAATCCCCTCTTTGGAATATTTCAATGGTTTAATGATTTAATAGGACATTTAAGAAACAAATGTATACTTAATCAAGTTTTTAAAGACCAATTATACACGCGTTTCTTATTATACCTGCAATATAATTTAAGAATAAGGGAAATAAAATAACAATAAATAAATAACATGATTGCCATGGAAATGTCATTTGGCCGTATTTGTAAATCAAATTACTTCGTTTGCAAAAACGAATAACTGTCGATTCAGTGGCTTGTTGCAGAACCAGAAGGTAAGTCGGTAAAGATGATATTTTCACGAAGTAACGTTACCTCCCACCCCTTCAACTTGTCTATTTCACTTTAACACTTTTTTGTCTCTTTCTACAGGTTATACAACGACGTGGGCAATCTTCTTGACGATAAATTTAAGACTGCATATAATTTAACATATTATACTATGGGTGGACGTACGGATGTAGATACTTCCCGTTTTCGCAGGGCCATCTGGAATTATATTCAATGTTTGCTTGGTATACGTCACGACGATTACAATTACGGCGAAATTAATCAGCTATTAGAACGTACCTTGAAGACTTTCATTAAAAGCGCCTGTTGCTATCCGGAACGTGTAACCAAGAAGGATTACGATAGGGTTCTTCGCGAATTTAAACATAGTGAGAAGGTAAGTTTCTATATTTTGACCTAATTTAAAATGCATAAGAAATTGTAACAGTCAATTTTTGAAAATAAAATCGAGAAAATTACATTGCTAATTTCCAAAAATAAAACAAATGAATCAAAAATTGTGCAAATTTTTCCATTTTCAAAAATTAAAAAAATAACCAACCTGTACAAACTAAACTCTTCCCGCTTTCAAAAATTTATCAAAGATTGTAGAATCTTTAATATCTTGGAATACATGAACCAATTTTCGATCAAAAATCGGAAAAAGAAATCAGAAATACTGTACTGTTTTCTGTTTTTAAATTGCCTATACAAAAACTATGCTCTGGTTTTCAAATTTTTGATTTAAAAAAAGTAAAGACAATATTCAAAACTTGTTCAAACTAAATTTGTGAATTTTTCTAATTTTAATTGCCCTGAAACCGAAGCAATGCGTTAAGATTTTATGTTGTTAATTTTCAAAAATTAAAAACAAAATGAATCAAAAATTGTTCAAATTTAAATCTGTACTCTTTGCACTCTTTAAGTTATATGGGCAAGGTGATACAGACAACGAAATTGAAGGCTATAGCTCAAGTATTTTTTAAATAAAAAATTACAAAACAATGTTTCATTAGAATTTTAAAAATTCGATTTACAAAGATAAAATAATGCATTGAATCAGGTAATGTTCAAACCTAAATTTGTGTACTTTTCAATTTTGAATAATAACCAATATTTCAGAAAAAGTAGTAAATCGAAACTTGTACAGACCCAAAAAATGTTTTTTTCAAAATTTATTTTACCATCTTTTTAAAAACAAACATGTTTATTTTTAAACGGTGTTATTTATAAGAATCTATTTCCAATAATTAAAATCCGTCTCGAGTTTTCAAATTGTCCCATGTTTAAATATTAAAAAAAAACTCGGCTAAGTTAGCACCTAGGTATTTAGGACCTTTTCAAAGTATGAGTTAGAAGATACCGAGGGAAAGATTGCAGATATATGGCATGTCCAAGATTTAAAACCATTCCTAACGTCAGTGCGGATACCAAAACAAAATGTTAAAACATAAATAAATAAATTTATTGTACAAACCCAAACTTGTGTACTTTGGAAATTTGAATAACTTGAAAAGAAATGGATAATTAAACACTTTTCCAGTCCAAATTTGGGTATTTGAAAGGAAGGTTTTAAAATTGCCAATAGAAAATTTGAAAATCAGAGTATAGTAAAGAAGACATGCCACATTTTTGAAAACATCAAAAATCGAAAAAATTACGGTTCAAAATATTAGAAAATTGTATACACTATAATAATCCATTTTTGAAATGGAAAAAATAGATAAATTAAGTACTTTTTAATTTTGAATAATAACGAATTTTTGAAAAATTAAAAAAAAACAAATCGCAACTTGGACAAATCCAAATTTATATAATAATTAATAATTTTTAAAAATTACAAAATTTAATTTGTGTACTTTACAAAATGTTTGTAACGGAAAATTAAAAAAAAATTTGATTCAAGTTTTAATTTTTTTGTGATTGTTGAAGGGCGCTTTGTATTTTACGTGAACGTATGTTACAGGTACATGTCAATTTAATGGTGTTAGAAGCACGTATGCAAGCCGAATTATTATACGCCCTAAGAACTGTGAATCGCTACATGACAAATTAATCAGCGCGCGCGCGGCATTTTTTCCCAAGGAAGACACCTATATCTATATTATATAAATATATATCTTCACTCACGTTTCATACTTCGTTTTCAAGGTATGAATTTATATCATGTGCACAGAAAGTATATTAATATATATATTAGTGATTAAAAAGGAACTATTTTTGTTGTCTGTTTTAAATTTTATGTAACGATATGGATAGAGCGCGGTCGCAAATGTTGTGATTACCAAGCTACTATAATTATTGTATAACCGAATTTTATTGATGTGTTTCTTCGTTGTCATTTTGATTTCGTTGCGTTCCTGAAGGGAACGTCGCACCAAATTGACCACTTTTGTAAATAACGAAACTATCGTATAAATATTATATTTTGGCTATTGTGTCACGCCTTTTACGAAGAAGACGGAGGGAAATGTTTTCATTTACGAAACATCTATTGATCTGGTCACTTTATACGGAGGCTCTGTATATTCTCATTTGTGAAGGTTCACTCTTAAAAATGATTAAAAAAATAATAATAAACGGAAGTTATCTGTGTTAAGTAGTACAACGGCGAACGAAAAACTGCAAGAGAATTTTTGTTGGCTTTTGTTGAAACCGCATTATACAGTGTGTTCCAATCGAAGCCGCCGAGACTATTGCTAGAAAAAATCTTTGGCGTTTTGCAGCACTGCCGAGATGCTTTTCTTCCATAAAAACATTTCTGTGCACTCAGAAGCGAGCGGTTTTAGTTCAAACACACTGTATTATGCCCAAATTTATATCTTGATCTCAGTATTAATTTATTCAGTTTAAAAAAACCATTGCAACTGTTAGTGTTTGTCACTGCCATATGGAATTTGTATTAGGTTAGTAAAGGTTCGAGATCGCGTATCGTCGACTGGAGCAGCTAATTTTCATCCGGTACAGAGATCTCGATCTTGCTCGATTAATACGAAATTTTGGGTTAGTTCATAATGTTATTATTATTATTATTCTTGTAGATTGGTGAATTCGTAATTTTCAAATTGTGAATCCCGCTTGTTTTCGTAGAGTATAACGAGAAAACTGCATGTAGAATTTAATATAACGCTGTGATGTTACATTTTCTGTATTTATTTGAAACAATTAAGTTAATCGAAAGAGAAACAACTTTTCGGCCTATTTTATTCGATTTAGCTTTTCGTCCTTTTAAAGTTTCGTTGCAAACTTCTGCAAATTTGTGTGTTAGTTGCAGTTCAAAAGAGAAAAAAAAACAATAATTAATAAAAAGATGCAGAAGTACAAATACATGTAATGTGTAGGATGATTACGTTGGATTTCATAACTTATCTTTTAATCGTTTTGTTGATTTCGGGAGAAATAACGAAAAAATATTTTTACATTTTTACAATCTATTTTCAATTTACGTCCGAATGAATGTAGCTCCGTTCGATTTTGGGGGAGAAATGTTTGTGAAACGGAATTACATTTATTTACGGTTATGAAATCCCTGGCAGTCACATTATGTTGTGGGGTATTCTCCAATTTGTGATATTTATCTAAATGTGATTACTGTGTAATTAGATTTTAGATTGTTTCAACTGAATACCTACAATAAGTTTTGTTGATGTTTAACCATAGACTTTTAGTGAGATGTTTTTAATTTAATTAATCCTCTTCAAATAAAGTAGTTTGATGCTAATTGATGTTTTGTCCTTAACCCACACTCCTCCCCGTATGTTCCCTTGGAAAACTCCGCATCCGCATTTTTCCACAGCTTTGCCTTTCAAAAAAATTTGAGAAGAATCCTAAACCTACAAATAACCGAATGTCCAACTTTTTAGTATCGGAAGAACATGATGAACCAGGAGTTTTTTTTGTCATTACCAAGAGAAATATTTCATTTTGTTATGTCCATTAAGATAATGAAAAAAAGCACTTTACTGAGTAAGTAGAATAGGTACTTAATATACCGTAAAGTGCCAAGTGTAAACTCGTATGTATGTATGTATGTTCAATCGTCACTCGGTACCTAACAATTCAGTTCAAGTATTGTAACAGAAGTGACAAGACAATGAAAGTTACAACATTTATTTGCATCAAGTGTCAATTTTGTATCTTTTAAGTACCACAAATAATATTTCACTGAAAAATAACGTAAGATGTTTTAAGAAACCTAAGGATTGTTATTAAAATTAGTCATATCATACCTCTCATAAAGAAAAAGGTTTCCAATTCCAATGTTGCATTAGTGGATCAATCTTTATTTGGAAATTTGGATTAAAAAAAAATTATTTGGGGGTATGGATTGAAATGATTTTCGGTTTATTATGGAGTTACGGCATTACGTTTGCGGCGGTTTTGGTGATCAACAGGGATGAAGAGGCGAGATCGTTTCTATTTACGGCAAGTTCACAGAAATATTGCGGCAAAGTTCCGAACACAATGCAAGTGCAAAGCTGTGATCAAGCGATCGCCGACACAATTCCCCGGTCTATAAGTGATTACCACGGATGTTCCATAGCATTTTCTTCTGGAGCTTTTATGAAGTGTTTGGATATATTTAATCACAAGACTTTTACAATTATCATTACGACTGAAATGTTGAAATTCAACATTTCAACCGCGATGATAATTGTAAATGTCCTGCGATTGGGTTCATGTTGCGTAAGGGCAATGAAAAGGATCCCGCCAAAATTATTGTATCTGCATGGTGGAGTAACTAGTTTCCTTTATGCTATTTTGAGAGTGGAAATTTTGATACGGAAGTTTGGATATTAGTTTCGGTAGTTTTTTCCTTATAAATATCTATGGTGTTTTAGTGTGGTGTTATCTGTAAATGGCGTTTATTGGAGAACTGTATTGTCCATTATTTTTCTATGTAGTTTCATCTACAAGTTGCACTTTACTAATTGAACATATATATTAAAATGTCATTGTCAAAAAGACGATTTTTGCCTAATCAATAAAGTTACTGAAATAAAATCGAGGTAATAATTCGTTGGCCAACTCCTGTAAAATTTTTTACCTGAAACCGCAACATGTACTTTTCCAAATTAAATTATTCGTATGTGTGAAATATTGATACCTAATCACGCATGCTAAAATCACTATTTAATTGTTTCGATAGAGATTTCAAAATAATTAAAACAATCAGTGTCATTTTTAATGCCGTTTGCAGTATATAGTCTTTATAACTAAGTACAAAAGCAGGTATCAGTGAAGAAGAGTACCTACGTAGAAACCAATTTCGAAAAAAATTCAAAGGGCTGTAACTTTTGAACTAGTAGCCCAATCTTGGAACTGTTTGAAATTATGGATTCTACAGGCCACATTCTATAAGAGAATTTTTTTCCGGGTCGATCTGAGACAATTTTTTTTTCGGGGCTCAAAAAAAGGCAGTGTATAACCTTCCTTTTTTACCAAAAATCGACTACACCAAAATTTCTCGGGAAAACACTTTTTCTTATTAATTTTGGTGCGTAGAATCCAAAACAATTCGTACTTTTTCGATCAGACTTCTCAATCAAAAGTTATAGACTAGAAACCAATTTCGAAAAAAATTCAAAGGGCTGTAACTTTTGAACTAGTAGCCCAATCTTGGAACTGTTTGAAATTATGGATTCTACAGGCCACATTCTATAAGAAAATTTTTTTTCCGGGTCGATCTGAGACAATTTTTTTTTCGGGGCTCAAAAAAAGGCAGTGTATAACCTTCCTTTTTTACCAAAAATCGACTGCACCAAAATTTCTCGGGAAAACACTTTTTCTTATTAATTTTGGTGCGTAGAATCCAAAACAATTCGTACTTTTTCGATCAGACTTCTCAATCAAAAGTTATAGACTAGAAACCAATTTCGAAAGAAAATTCAAAGGGCTGTAACTTTTGAACTAGTAGCCCAATCTTGGAACTGTTTGAAATTATGGATTCTACAGGCCACATTCTATAAGAAAATTTTTTTTCCGGGTCGATCTGAGACAATTTTTTTTCGGGGCTCAAAAAAAGGCAGTGTATAACCTTCCTTTTTTACCAAAAATCGACTACACCAAAATTTCTCGGGAAAACACTTTTTCTTATTAAATTGGGTGCGTAGAATCCAAATCAATTCGTACTTTTTCGATCAGACTTCTCAATCAAAAGTTATAGACTAGAAACCAATTTCGAAAAAAAATTCAGAGGGCTGTAACTTTTGAACTAGTAGCCCAATCTTGGAACTGTTTGAAATTATGGATTCTACAGGCCACATTCTATAAGAGAATTTTTTTTCCGGGTCGATCTGAGACAATTTTTTTTTCGGGGCTCAAAAAAAGGCAGTGTATAACCTTTCTTTTTTACCAAAAATCGACTACACCAAAATTTCTCGGGAAAACACTTTTTCTTATTAATTTTGGTGCGTAGAATCCAAAACAATTCGTACTTTTTCGATCAGACTTCTCAATTAAAATTTATAGACTAGAAACCAATTTCGAAAAAAAATTCAAAGGGCTGTAACTTTTGAACTAGTAGCCCAATCTTGGAACTGTTTGAAATTATGGATTCTACAGGCCACATTCTATAAGAAAATGTTTTTTCCCGGTCGATCTGAGACAATTTTTTTTCGGCGCTCAAAAAAAGGCAGTGTATAAACCTTCCTTTTTTTCCAAAAATCGACTACAACAAAATTTCTCGGGAAAACACTTTTTCTTATTAATTTGGGTGCGTAGA